GAAGACTTATGTATGTGGGTAAAAGAGAGAGAGAGACAGACAGAGGTGTGGACACACACACACACACAGAGAGAGAGAGAGAGACAGAGAGAGAGAGAGAGAGAGAGAGAGCGAGCCACTGGCTTACATTCCCAATGGCTGCAACAGGGGCTGGGCCAGGCCCAGGACTCCATCCTGGTCTCCCACGTGGGTGCAGGGGCCCAAGTACTGGGCCACCTTCTGCTGCTTTCTCAGTGCATTGGGGGAAGCAGAGCAGCTGGGACTGGACCGGGTGCTCCAATAGCGGGATGCTGGCATCGCAAGTAGGGGCTTAAGCTCTGTGCCACAATGCCAGGCCTTAACCAGCGTCTTAACCATCAGGCCAAATGTCTGCCCTCCAAATGCTTTTTTTTTTTTAAGAGATTTTACTTATTGATTGATTTGAGAGGCAGAGTTACAGACAGAGAGAGGGAGACAGAGATCCACCTGCTGGTTCACTCCCCAGATGGCCCCCACAGTGGACTGGTGCTCAGTGTGGGATGCCGGCGCCACAGGTGGAGGCTTAGCCCATACACCACAGCGTCAACTCTCCACCCCTCTGCAATCAGTGCTTCTACTTTGGGCTCTTCTTTTGCCCTCATTTCCAGAGACGTCCGGGCCTCCCAGCCCCAGAGCCTTCGGGAAGTTCTGCCTTGCAAAGGGGACAGATTCTGTGGCCTCCTTCACGCTGGTCCAGAGGTTAGCCCGTGGGTCGGCTCCACGAATCAGCTGCCTCTCGTCCACCTGCTTTTTTTTTTTTTTTTTTTGACAGGCAGAGTGGACAGTGAGAAAGACAGAGAGAAAGGGCTTCCTTTGCCGTTGGTTCACCCTCCAATGGCCGCTGTGGCTGGTGCACCGCGCTGATCCGATGGCAGGAGCCAGGTGCTTCTCCTGGTCTCCCATGGGGTGCAGGGCCCAAGCACTTGGGCCATCCTCCACTGCACTCCCTGGCCACAGCAGAGAGCTGGACTGGAAGAGGGGCAACCGGGACTAGAACCTGGCACCCCGACTGGGACTAGAACCCGGGGTACCGGTGCCGTAGGTGGAGGATTAGCCTAGTGAGCCATGGTGAGCCACCTCCTTCTGTTCTTTTACCCTCATCTTCTCCCCGTTTGTTGATTGGTCACATTTAATCTGTTACATTTTCTTACGTGGCCGTGGCATTTTGGAAATTATTCTTTGCATTTCCATCCCATTCCACTTGCACTCAAAGCTGAGAAACTCACAGGTAAGGGATGGAGGAAAACCAGACCTCTGTGAGTCCTCAGACTGCGGAGATGGGCAGGCTGGTCAGCAAAGCACCTGGCAGAGTTCCCATAGCTCAAGAAACACTAAGGGGAAGCTTGGGCGCACTCTCAGGTCCCGGCACCAACTGCCTGTGCCCTGTCTTTCCAGCTGAGCAGCTGCAAGCCACTCCCTCCCTCTCCAACTTGAGCCCTCCTCAGCACCATGTTCTCTCTGCTCGCAACCCTCCTGCCTGTGGGGAGGGGAGCAGGGAAGAGGTGAGGGCACAAGGAGGTGACCCAGGGCGAGGCTTGGCCTGCGTTGTGAGCTCTGGGCAGTCCGGGGACGGCGGACAGCCCTCTTCCTGACGGTTACATCACTGACGGGAAGGGCGCCCATCACGGCAGACAGCGAGCAGGGCGTGCTTTTCCAGGAACCAGATCCTGAGAATTAGCCCATTACCCGCAGTTCATGCAATTAAACACAAGCGCATGGAGCCCCTTTGCTACTGCACAGCATGGGCCAACTGAGTCACTGGATCCACAGGCACCCGTGCAGTGGGGCTGCATTCAGGAGGCAGGCTTTGTTGGGGAGGGGAATGGGGACAGTAGTAACATCCCCTGAGGCTTTGGGAGTGCCAGCCAGCACAGGAGCCCTGGGCAGAAGCTGGCGTCAGCTGGCTTCTTGCACAGATCCAATGTGCCCATCGTGGGGAATGTTCTGGTGAGTGCCAATGCCTCTACTCTATTGGCTGCTTCCAGAAGAAGCTGTTGAGGTCTAGGAAAAGCGACAAGGGAGGGAGACAAGTGTCCAGGTCAGGAATTCAGGGGACGGAAGATCCTTCTGGCGCCAGCTGATGGGGATGCAGCCTGCATGCCCTCAGGGTCATTAGCTCCTGGTCTCACACAGCGTGATGATGCTGTGGGCTGGGCCAGGAGCGGGGACTACAGCAGGGCTCCCTGGCACCTTTGGTCACAGTCATCAGAGTGACTGGCCACCAGCTGGTCAGCCAGGAAAGCCAACACACCATGGAGGGGTCGAGGCTGGTCTTTAACACAGCACACAGAGGCTGGAAGGAAATTGGTGGTGGCCTGGGGAGCTGGGCTCAGAGGTAGGGCTGAGGGGAGAGGCATCAAAGGGAGGGGCAGGGCTGGGGGGAACACACGGGCTCAGATCTAAGTGCCCAGGTGCTAGGATTTGCCCTCAGTTACGCAAACGATACCCGGTTCAGTCCCTGGTGCACCCCTGTAAGGAGTGGTCAGAAAGGGGGACTTTTAAGAAGCTTGTCGAAGCTGGCGCTGCGGCTCACTAGGCTAATCCTCCGCCTGTGGCACTGGTACCCCGGGTTCTAGTCCCGGTCGGGGCACCGGCTTCTGTCCCGGTTGCTCCTCTTCCAGTCCAGCTCTCTGCTGTGGCCCGGGAGTGCAGTGGAGGATGGCCCAAGTGCTTGGGCCCTGCACCTGCATGGGAGACCAGGAGGAAACACCTGGCTCCTGGCTTTGGATCAGTGCAGCGCAGCGGCCGTAGCGGCCATTTGTGGGGTGAACCAATGGAAGGCAGACCTTTCTCTCTTAACTCTGCCTGTCAAAAAAATAAAATAAAATAAAAGAAGTTCGTCGAAACTGGGGTGAAAGGTCATGCGTATTTTCCAAGACCGATTCTGTTTCATCTTACGAATGACAAAATCTGAAGTGAAAAGCGGTTCAGTGGGTGCAGGGACTCAGGCCGCTGCGTGCGGGTGCGAAGGCGGCCGTGGCTGACCCCCAAGTCCCTGTCTGCTCTGCTCTCGGAGCTGCTCTGGGTGCCCTTTCTTTCCTCAGGGCCCCGTGCTACGGATCCGCCCTCCCTGGCTCTGGATCTCAGATCAGGGCCGCCCTCACGGTGTCTGCCCTGCCCGCCTTCGCTTGCGAAGGTTTCCCTGCAGCACTTTCCCTTCTCGCTTCTCTGTTTATTTTTTATTGTGGCAAATTCTACGGAGCATAGAGTTCACCATTTTCACCAGTTTTCGGCAGATTTAAGTTCAGTTAGCTCCCATTGCTGTGAAGCGCTTTTTGGTTTTCACTTGGATATGTCTTATTTTATTATTATTATTATTATTATTATTATTATTTTTGACAGGCAGAGTGGACAGTGAGAGAGAGAGACACAGAGAGAAAGGTCTTCCTTTGCCGTTGGTTCACCCTCCAATGGCCGCCGCGGCCGGCGCGCTGCGGCCGGCGCACCGCACTGATCCGAAGCCAGGAGCCAGGTGCTTCTCCTGGTCTCCCATGGGGTGCAGGGCCCAAGGACTTGGGCCATCCTCCACTGCACTCCCTGGCCACAGCAGAGAGCTGGCCTGGAAGAGGGGCAACCGGGACAGAATCCGGCGCCCCAATTGGGACTAGAACCTGGTGTGCCAGCACCGCAAGGTGGAGGATTAGCCTAGTGAGCCGCAGCGCCGGCTTATTTTATTATTATTTAAAAATTGTATTTGAGAAGCAGAGAGAGAGAGAGAGAGAGGTCCCCATCTGCTGGTTCATTCCCCAAATGCCTGCAATGGCTGGGGCTGGGCTGGTCTGAAGCCAAGAGCTGGGCGCTCAATCTAGGTCTCTCCTGTGGGTGGCAGGGACCCGCATACCCTTGAGCTATGACCACTGCCTCCCGGGGTCTGCACTGGTCGGGAGCTGGAGTCAGGAGCCAGCCAGGACTGGAACTCCAGCTTTCTGATACGGGACGTTTGTCTGAACTGGAGTCTTAACTGCTAGGCCAAGCGTCGGCCTCCTGGATCCATCCTGTAAAGGCGAGCTTGACGTCACCGTCAGGAACGGAACAGACGTACTTTGTGTAAACAGAGGTGACCTTTAGGATAAACACAACACTGGCAGCCAGCTCCTGTGGGAGCAGCAGCTGGCGAGGCAGTCGGCTGTCCACCCCTCTCCACCCCTCCCCCATCCCCACAGAGGGAGGAAAGCAAGTGGGGGAGAAGCGCTCAGCCCAGACGCACGCTGCCCCGATACTGCACCTCGACCTACTTAGAGGGCCTGAGGGAGGCAGAACAGGCGCCTCCCCACGTCTTCCTGCCACGGAGGCCCCCTCTCTGCCCCCACATCACGGGGGCTGCAGACCCCCCCCCCCATGCTGAGGCTCTGTGGCTCCCAACGAGGAGCATCCTTTGGGACAAACCTTCCCAGATCCCATCCACGGTTTCCCCAAGGAGACCCTGTCCTCCCCCAGCGTCCTAGATTTAGTTCTAGGAGTCCCACAGAGAGCAGAAACCACGGCCGAGCAAATCCCTTCACGGAACAGCGGAACAGCGTAGCGCTGGCATATAACCCGTGCACATCCCCCAGTATGATTTAAACCATCGCTAGACAACTTATACCATCTGATGCAGTGTAGGCATCAGGCAAATAGTTGTTACGCTGCATCCGTTTAGGGACTAAGCAGTGGTTTACAAAGAAAAAAGTGTTTGTTCAATATTGATGCTCTTCTTCTTCTTCTTCTTTTTTTTTTTAAGAATAAATTGCATCTGAGGTTAGTTGCATCTAAGCGACTAAGGTGGGCTCTCCACCAGCACCTGAAGGAATCGTTTTTGTTACAGAAGCTGGGGGTGTGCAAAGCAGGCTATGAGGCCAGGAACAGGGGTGGGGCCAGACATCACCATGAGCGGCTCAGTGATGGTGGGCAGTGGTCCGGAGGGAGGGTCTCTGAGCCTCCCCCTCCTGGGTGCAGTTCACCGTGCCATGACAGCCCCAGGACACGGGACACGTGCTTCTCACCTGGGGCTTGGTCTCATCTTTGTCCTTGTAGTAGAAAAGCTGGTCCCCGCGCAGCACAAACCAGCGCTGCTGCCAGTTCTTCATGATGCTCCTCTGCTTCTTCAGCCAGCCCGCCTTCAGCACAGGGCCCGACTTGTGGGGGCACGGCGGGCGCCCGGGGCTCCGGCTCTGCTCCCCCATCACCAGGCTTTTGGAGCGGGCTGCAAGCCGAGAACACACACAGGGAGCATGAGGTCAGTCCCTGCCCTACCCCAGCACCCCAGCTGCCCTGTCCCCTGGCATGGGAGCCAAGGCCAGCAGGGCTGAGCTTGCTGGGCCCTACTTCCCATTGGGTTCCGTAGCACATGTGCTGGAGCAACTCAGCAGCAGCTGCCCAAGGTTCTCCCCTGTGGCAGGTGTAGTCAGCCTGCCTAATCAGTTTCTCTTCCCCACTGGGTTCCTAGCTTCTCCATTTCTCCAGGTTTGCTCATCCATCCATCCACGCATCCATCCATCCATGCATCTGTCCGTCCACCCACGCATCCACCCATTCATGCATCTGTCCGTCCACCCACGCATCCATCCATTCATGCATCTGTCCGTCCATCCACGCATCCACCCATCTACGCATCCATCCATCCATGCATGCATGCATCCATCCTACTTGCATTCCTTCACCCACCCATCTATCCACACACCATCCATCCATCCATCCATCCATGTACTCAATCTCCCACCAATTCATCCAACAATGCGTTCACATATGCATCCAGCCACTATTTATTGAATGCCTACTATGTGCCAGGAACTGTTGCAATTACTGGTGATAAAGCAGCTCACATTTTAGTCGGGCTCTTGTTACCGAGGCCTGGAGCGATCTGGCCCCACTTGCACCTGCCTCTGCTTTCTGCCTGGCTGCCTGCCTCTGGGAGAGTCATGCCTGAGCCCCACCACCCAGAACCTCCCACAGCGACCCTGCTGCTTCCCGGGTGGGTCCATGGCTGGTAATCCTGCCGGGTGGGCCTGCATGGTGAGGTCCCTTGCTTTAGCTGTTTGTGTGACTCACTGGGGGCCTCCCAGCTGGACAAAGGGACCATCATGCCTAACTCAGGGGCTTCTGCATGCCCGGAGCCCTGCAGGTGACATCAGTGGCCAGTGCTCTGCCAGGGTCAGTGCCCCCTTCACAGTGCTGACTGAGTTCTCATCCCCTCCATCCCTACCCTGTCAGCTCTCGCTCCTGCTCTTGCCTCTGTCTGCAGGGGAAGCTCCTCTCTGTGGCCAGGATCGGGGATACTGCTGCAGTGGTCAGTGCAGGAGCTGTCCTGGACTTCGGAGGCACAATTCCGAGTCTGCGTGTAATTGCACTTGCGAGTGTGAGCCCAGGGATCCTCACCACTGACTGCACCAACACACAACCCCTGTGGCTCCCTGTTCTCGCACTGTACCTCCGTGTGTGTGTGTGTGTGTGTGTGTGTGTGTGTGTGAGCACACATCTAAGCTCCTTCTGCCACATGAGTGACTGCGATTCCCTAAGCTGACCGTTCTTTCTCATTCTTCAAGATCCGTTCAGGCGATTCCTCCTCCAAGGAATCTTCCTTCCGAATCTCCTCCAGACAGTCCTTGTCTCCCCGGCCGGGGCACGCGCTCCGTGGCTGGTAATCACGCGTGTAGTTGCCTTTCTGCCCCTCTAGACTGGGTGGTGGAGGGGACGCCCTGAAGCCTTCCCCAGTTCTGCACCTGTGGCCCCCATCATTGTGCAGGGCAGGGCCTGGACGCGAGTCACGGTGGTCAAACATCTCAGGACACTTAGAGTTTCCTATTGCTAGGTCTGCATTTTAAAGAAACCAGTCAACGCAACGTGAGAGCTGGTGTCTGGAGACAACATGTAGCCTGGTGGTCCCAGCCTTGTCCTGAGTCACACAGAGAATCCTGAATCTACTACTTGAATATAAGCAAAGCACAGTGGGCACCTGCTCCCCGCGGGGCCGGCTCACTGAGCGCAGCAGGAGCAACTCAGCTCTGAGCCTCTGCAGGGCGGGCCGTTCAGGCCCTGGCCCACCCCGCCAGGACTCCCCACTGCCATCGCTCGGCTGTTGCTGAGGGTGCTGTTGAATGTGCCAGCATTGCTCTGGCCGCGTTTTAGCCCCCCGAGAAAAGGGAGCTGTTTCCACGCTGGAGGGGATGGGTGACTTCTGGCGGGCGGTGGGTTTTGTCCAGAGATGACAGGGAAGAGAAAGCAGGGGGCTCAAGGGTGGACTGCTTGGCCCAGCTCCTCCTGGGGAAACAGCCCCCAGCTCTCAAGCCAGGCGGCACCCTGCACCTGTGGTTGAGCTTCGCTGTGTGCATTTGGAGTGATGGGATGTGCACCGGGGCTCCAGCTCTCTGCTGGCCTGGCAGATGGTGAACTCGCGTGTGGTGCCCCCTTCAGTTCTGGCAGCTGTGTCCTGTCCATGCACGGGCACAGCTGTACCATCATATGTTACCTATGGATTCCCACGTCGCCCAGCGCTGGCATTCTCTCCAAAACTGGTTTCTTAATTAAGGAGACAGTGAGGCTCAGCAGAAGAAACACAGGCTCTGGACAGAGGTCGGTTCTGTGAGCTCTCTGTGCCTCTGTCTGCTGATCGGCAAACTGGGCCCATGGTGGGATGGCCAGGGTTGGAGTTGGAGGAGGGGAGAGAGAGCCACACCTGGCGAGAGTAAAGGGCCCAGTAACTGGTTACCATGGCAACAATGATGATGATGGAAACGGTGCAGTGGATGGATTCATGCAGAACTGGCTTTCCTGAAGCTGGGCTTATAGCAGTGGGCTCCTGAGCAGAAGATTGTGGATCTTTTTTAAAGACAAGATTTATTTATTTGAAAAGCAGGGTGACAGACACAGAGAGACAGAGGCAGAGAGAGACAGAGAAGGAGATCTTCGATCTGTTGGTTTAGTCCCCAGATGCCTGCAACAGCTAGGGCTGGGCCAGGCTGAAGCCAGGAGCCAGGAGCTCCATGCAGGTCTCCCAAAAGGGAGGCAGGGATCGAAGCACTTGGGTTATCTTCCACTGCCTTCCCAGGAGCATCAGCAGGGGCTTGGATCAGAAGCAGGGCAGCCATGACTCAAATATGGGATGCTGGCGTCATAAGTGGTGAGTTAACCTTTTGCACCACAGCGCCAGCCCCTGGCTTCTGGCTGTTTAGGTGCTGTGACCCACTGCCTTCTAAAAATGGTGTGTGGATATATGAGGGAACGTCAATGAGTTTATGGAACAGTGGAATTAAAAGATAAGTTTATTTTGGTACAAAAATTTTTGAGGTCTATGCACAGCTTTTTTTTTTTTTTTTTTGACAGGCAGAGTGGACAGTGAGAGAGAGAGACAGAGAGAAAGGTCTTCCTTTGCCGTTGGTTCACCCTCCAATGGCCGCCGCGGCCGGCGCGCTGCGGCCGGCGCACCGCGCTGATCCGATGGCAGGAGCCAGGAGCCAGGTGCTTTTCCTGGTCTCCCATGGGGTGCAGGGCCCAAGCACCTGGGCCATCCTCCACTGCACTCCCTGGCCACAGCAGAGAGCTGGCCTGGAAGAGGGGCAACCGGGACAGAATCCGGTGCCCCAACCGGGACTAGAACCCGGTGTGCCGGCGCCGCTAGGCGGAGGATTAGCCTAGTGAGCCGCGGCGCCGGCCCATGCACAGCTTTTTGATACCACGCATTTTCTGTGAACTTTTGGAAGACTTTATAATGCACCACACAGATAGACAGTGGAGCACTTTCTCCATAACCACCCAGAGTAAGCCTAATTTAAAGAGTTCTGCTCCAGGGACAGAGCGGGCAAAGCCACCACCTGCAACACCCGCATCCCATGAGTGCTGGTTTGAGTCCCGGCTGCCCCACTTCTGATCCAGCTCTCTGCTATGGCCTGGAAAAGCAGTGGAAGATGGCCCAAGTGCTTGGGCCCCTGCACCCACATGGGAGACCTGGAAGAAGCTCCTGGCTCCTGGCTTCAGACTGGGTCAGCCCTGGCCGTTGTGGTCATCTGGGAAGCAAAGCAGTAGGTGGAAGACCTCTCTCTATCCCTCTCTCTGTAACTCAGGCTTTCAAATAAATAAATGAATCTTAAAAAAAAAAGGAGTTCTGCTCTGTATAACTTAGCAGGTATCAGATGACACATGGCTATTGTCCCGGCCCACTCTGTTTGAATTGTCAAGTGAGACCCCTTGGCGCAGCCCGCTACTCACCACAAGAAACCTGTGCCCACCCCTTTGCCCACTTAGCCAGTGGCCCCCGGAGGAGGAGCTGCTGGGCTCCCCAAGGTCCACACTCACTGGGCCCTCTGCTGCTCGCCGCATGAGCCTCCGCCCTCGCCCACAAGTCTTCAGCAGCCCTGGGAAGGCTGGACTTCTGCTTCTAGGCATCCACAACACTTTGCCCAGCCCAGTGTGTGCAATGCACAGCCCCGGCGGCTCTGCAAGCCCAGCAGCCAGGCCGTGGAGCAGCCAGACTCAGAGGAAACGCCCTGGCCTGTGAGGCTGGGCTGAGCCACGGACAGGCAGCTGGCAGCTGTGGGGCCTTCCTGCTTCCCAGGCTGCACCTCACCTGCCTCTCTGTGCCTCCTCCCATCACAAGGCTGCAAGGGGCTGGAGCAGGCGGGATTTGGCAGACACTTGCAGATCCTTCTCCAAGACCAGGGGCATGTGTAGAGGATGCATGTGCGGGGCAAGTGTTACCACGGCCCCAGTGTCTCGGCGGGTCTCACAGCGGACCACAGAGGGAGCATGGACAGGTGTGCGCCTCTGGTTACGAGTTTTCTTCTCTGGGTCTCAAGTTCCTCCAATAGGTCAAGAATCACTGGGGAGATCAAGTTGCCAGCACCCGGCCTTTTGTCTTTTAATGGCCAGGGATTTCTAACTGGACACCTGGCAGACCGTGCTGCCTCTGGGTGTGGATTTTCTGGAGCCGAAAGGTAGGTGCAGCGCTCTGCTCTCCCTTTCTCCTTTTCCCCTTCTTGGGGGAGCCTGCAGGGCCACTTGGTGCCCTCCGTCCGCCTCCAGGTTTCTCCAGAGTGCTCTCTGGGGTCTTCAATGGAGATTGAAATCCTCAGAATATTTTAGGGCCTCCTCCCTGGTTCTGTATCTCATCTTCTATTACAACAGGGCTTGTGCCACGAGACCACACGCTGTTACAACCCTGAGTGCACCTGCCCTTCCTTCCACATCCCCGCGGCACCTTGTGCAGGGCCA